ATAATCCTTGCACATGTTTCTGTGGCTTATGAGCAAAAATCTCATTTTGATGTTCTGCTCTTGCTCTGTTCAGAGCAAGTATTCTCCAGCTCCAAAGCACAAGYAGAGTGAAATGTTCATTGGTTTTCACAGAATTAGAAAGCTTGTAAATTAAATCATCAACACTGGCTACAGTCTTCCAAGTTCTGACCACCTGATATCATCTATGTATGTCCATTAGGCTAGCACCTCTAAATTGTGCACAAACACCTCAATAACTGTGGCCGTCGTGTTCAGACTGTTCAGCAGAGGTATTSAACACTATGGGCTTATTTATATTTGTAGTGGTTCTTGTGATGGCAAAACTTCTTATTTAAGAAGTAAATGTTCTGGAGAGCAATCTTCCATATTTCTTGTCTATATGTTATTTGGGGAAATACAGTAAACTGGATTTTTAAAATCTTGTAATAATAGTAATATAATCCAACGTTCTTTTTCATTTTTAGTAGATCAGATTCTCCAGAATAATTCTGTTTGTAATTTAATAAAGCATTGAATATGTTTTGGCATTACCTATAACAGACATTTTCTGTTGGTTACTTCAGGGGTAGTGAGAGTTGTATGATTTTTAAAGATGCCTGTGTTCCGGTCAGGAGATTTCTACAGCAGTAACTTGATTGCCTGGTGGTCAYTAGCAGAGAGCCCTAAAGTCTTTATGTTTAGGGAGCTCCCRTGGAAAAAGAAACAAGACTGCTTCTGTTGAAGTACAGTTGTCTGGTTGTAATATAATTGTGTTTTTAAACAAGACACCTTATTTCAAAGGGAATTATACTGCTGTTGACTGCTTCCATCCAGCAGTTTGTGACCCTCCTCCCCTGAACACGTGGAGCAGCACTGTGTGGTTCAGAGGGAGATGRTGACCTTCAGGCGGGAGGACACATGAAGGTGAGGAGTGCAGTGGAAGTCCTGAATTCCTTGTGGTGCTCTTGATGCCACTTTTTTTCCCTGCATTTTTAACATTTACACGCAGTAAAAATTACATTTAGGAAGACTTGTGCATAAAGAAATGGAGAGGGGAAAGAAAACAATTTGAAAAGGCTACTTGATGCAGGTGTCTTTCCCAAACTGACTTTATGAATGCTTGATGCTTACAGACCATGAGATCATAATTGCCTCAGGGTCTTTAAATATCAGACTGTCAGCTGTCAGATATCATTCTGACTGTATTTTGTGCAATTAGTCTTTTTATCACAGGGAGCATTCATTTAAATCTTTGTGTAGTCTCTTTTCTTTGGCCATCCTAAATAGTATTTTAGACTGTGTAGTAAAGCACTTTGCATTACGTTTGCATTTCAGCAAGCACTGTCCTGTTTTTCCAAGATGCAGCTTAAGCATGCTCAAATACATACGGAGAAAAGGTTTTTTGCCCATGGAAAGGTTTGGTCACTTGTCATTGATTAAATGGCATTTCAGATATGTTGTATCCATTTAGTTTCTAGACTTGCAAATACCATTGCACTTTGGGGATTGTGGAAGATAAGGGTATTTGTTATATTCTCCTAGAGATCTTGCTGGTTGTTACCAGTGTAAAAGCTTTTTCAATTCCTAATTGAAGATTCACAACCTTATAGTGTGTGTATGTACATATGTATATACACACACACRCATATACACTATATATAGTGTTTGTGTGCTACCATTGAAAGAGATGTATGCACCCTGAATTGACATCTATAGAATGTCTTGCATAATAATCTCTTGCTCTTGATTAAAAAAAAAAAGAAAAAAAAAAGTCATTGTTTTTGAAGACTTGCCACTCTAAAAAGTCTAAAAAGTAAGTGTTTGGCATTGCACCTCTGAAGGCAAAAATGTAAAGTAGTTCTGCTAGGTGCTTTTTCAGGCATGCACTTATATTGCTCCTGTCCCAAACTGCAGTATTTCTGGTGCAKGCAGGCATCTGGTGCATCTGTTCAGAGCAAGGCTGTGGTCTTGCAGTGGCGGACATGGCTATTATTAGAGTGCAAGTTGCTACAAGTCCTGTCTAAAAACTAGGTGTTGATTTATTTGTAAGATCTAGGTGTGTGATAAAGTGAGCGTCTGGAGGACAAAGAAAAAAAAAAAAGACCCATTATTATGAGAGTGCAATCTTGGACAAAGTCAAAATGAGAAAACTAAAGGGGTGTCTTGGCATAAAACTGTTAGTCTTGGTTATCTCTGCTCTGCATATTCTTTAAATCAATTTGTGCTGTGAAGAAAAACGTCCTTTAGGAAGTGGACTTTTAAGAACTTGTTTGTTTTGTCATTATTACACTAAGGTAGCTGTAGGTTTATTAAAAGTACAGATTACTTGTGGATAAGTAGTATTGTAACTTTATCTTAATTACCTATGATTACGTTTTCTTCTCCTAATTATCAGCAACAAGTCTCCAGATATGTAGTGTAAAACGTATTGACTGCAGAAGCCAAGGTCTAGGTCATACTTTCTCCAGTTGCTTTTTTTTGACCTCTCATTTTTTTCCAATGTTATACAAAGTCATACTATTTTCCCCTTTAATGTGGCTGATCTTGTGTCAGAGACCTCACATTTTTCTCTATTAAAATCTGTTTAAAATCTGTCTTACAAAAGGTGTGTGCTTACGTTGCTCAAGCAGAAGTGATAGTGCCTTGCTTATTAAGAAAGTTGGAGAATTGAGCACAGGGCTCCAAACTGTAAGGTTTTGACCAAAGACTCTTCTCTGTATCAGAACTATACCAAGAAGAAGCCTTTTAGATGCTGTAGTCCCTGTTTGAATGTACTGTTCTGGGTGTATCTGTGATGATGAGGTTGCTTGCCGGCCTCTGTTTTGCAGAGAAACTGGCCTCTCTTAGTTGTCTTTTCTTTGGGCTGAGTGCTTCTCACCCTTATGGAGACTGTCAGAAATGTCACTTGCTGACCAGCAAGAAACTGACTTCTCTCTCCAGTGTCATGAATTTGGAATTCAAATTCCAAGCTGTGATGCTGAAGCATGATAGGGATATGTATGTACAAAGAATCAGTGCTGAATTTCCTTTTATGGAATGAATCCAAATTCTGTCACTTTCTCCAAACTGTTTTGCAACTCTGGGCAGTTTATTCAGCCCATGCAACAATTCCTTATTTCTAAGAGATGGATAGGTAGAGCTCATTTTGAGTACACTTTCCTTTAGCTAAATAATTGTTTTGGCTAGTCTGCTGCACATCTCCAAGAAAACAAGAATCCCCACTGTGAAGTACTTACTGTAATAATTCAAGCATAACCCTCTGTGAGGATGAGGACTCTTAAAAAGAGACGTGACCACCCAATCAAGTGAGGCAAAGTTATTTTTGCCAATAGACTGCAGAGGGAAGCTTTGAGTGAGGAATGGAGAAGCAAGGGGAAGCAAGGGAACATTTTCACAGTYAAGTGAAAGTGTTGTACTGGGTTGGTAAGCAAAGGGTACAGGATGAAACCGTACAGTTCTTTCTGTACATTGAAATAAACTTCCTATTAAAAAAAATAAGTATCTTTCAAACTTATACTGCAAGTACCTCTCCAAGAGAGCAGATATCCCTTCCTACTTCTGAGCCCTGACAGTATTGCATGCCGTGCTGCTGGTAAGGTTTTATTGGGTGGTGAATCTTTCTCATGTGGGGAATGAGGTGTAAAAGTTTAGGAAAATGTCTCTCAAATACATCAGCTAATATATGTTTTATTTGCCATTGGTACTTTGTGTACTGCTTACATAATGGGAGTATGTTTTCCTCTCGACCTCCTGTGGCCTGCTGTATTAATACAAACCTAGCAGAGCGCAATTCTGATCTTGTGCAGCTACAGAGGGAAATGTTTTGTCTTCAAGGCGCTGTTAGATTACTAGCCAAGTAATTCCTGGAATCTAGGAATGAATGTACATATAAACATTCATAGGCCACCAAAATGTGTTTTTTTTAATGTGCTCCTTGAAAATGTGTATACTGCTTTTCACGGGAGGATATTCTTAAAAACACACCACTTGAAAAAGAAGAGAAAATAATTAATTTGGTGTATCTTTGGTGCCTTTTGCATATGCTGCTGAATTTCACATGCTCTGCGTTCAATATCTTTCTTGATTGTGATGTTTTAAGTACAAAAGTGTTTTCTGTAAATAGAAGAAGGTACGAGGCCTCTTGCTGTGTTTTAAATGTAGCATGAATTGATGGCTTTGCTATGTGCAGGACAGAGTTAATATGGTGCAATATTTCACTCTTTACTTGTTAGCTTTAGACCATTAGAGATTCCACTTCAATAATAATAATAAAAGAAGCCTACTACTAGAGTGCACATGCTTTCCATACTTTTTAGGCAAGGAAAAAGAAAATTTGTACGTGAAAAGAAGTTGCTAGCAATTGAATTTCTGTTAYACTAATCTATTCTTTTCTTAATGAATCTAAGGGATCAGAGCTGGGACTGCTGAAGTTCCAGGCCTTGACGGGGTAATAACCAGACATTATAACTGAGCTATATTAATTCCTCTGCCCCTTCTTCTCCCTTCCTCAAGTTCACTCAGGAGAAAATGCTGTGTACTAACAGAAAGTAGTAATGTTAAGACACAGATGTTGTAAATTGTGAATTCTACTAGGTCTGCGGGTCTGCGCAGYATCATTTCAGAATCAGAGAGGCCACAAAATGCAAGATTGTAATCAGTGAAGTAATTTTAAGGCTTAATGTCTTGTGAAATGTCACATCACCATGTGGCTTTACCATCTGTTAAACAGCGAAACTCTTGTGATTTGTTAGATAGTACCTAAGTTCCTAGCTGTGTGATCTGGCAGTGCCTTTTTCGGATAAGACATGTAAGTGATTATAACAAGTTCTAAGAAATTTCTTGAAAATCAATACAATATTTTTTTCCTTCAGTTCTAAAACAAATAAATGTTATCCCTACTATATGAAAGTATCATAAAATATGTAAGAAAAGGTATTTCAGCACTTTTTTCTTTAAAATAGATATTGACTTGTTATTAACTTATTCCTCTACAGGGTGTGATAGGTGTACAGTTGGTGGTTACCATGGTAATGGCTAGTGTCATTCAGAAGATCATACCTCACTATTCTCTTGCTCGTTGGCTTCTCTGTAGTGGCAGGTAAGATAAGAAACAGTTGTTACACTGTATGTGAATATGGTAACACGTTTATGTATTAGAGTACAGCAAACCAAACTATTTCAGATGATGTTTTCTTGAAAAATGATTGATCTGCCATCAGGATTCTAGTATTGTGATACCTGACTTATGGACTTAAAGTATAAAGGTATAAAATAATGGTGATGCAAAAAAGGAGACATGAGTTTGTTGCTGTAACACTTGTCAGTCGCGAGAGCTGGACAAAGCTAACTATACTTTTCTAAAGGTGTTAGCTACACATTTGGATACTGAAAAGATGAACCAAATATGAGACACTGCAAGAATGAAGGGATTTTCTTTGTGCTGCCTCACTGTTCTCTATAATCTGCTGCCTGATTAGCCTTGCATAGGAAAAGTGCTTAGGTATTTACTTAGGAAGAAAACTTTCTTTTTTTTAATACTTCACAGGGCAAGATTAGTGTAGGTTTCAGTACATTATTTCTTCATAACTGTAGATCAGACAGACATAATTAGTTGCAAGGCAAAAACACCCTATGTAACTATATCAATAATAACTAAAACTTGCAGCTAATTTGCGTATAAAGCAGTATCTTAAATATGAAAAATCTACAGGCACTTTTATTTTCTTCCAGGAAGAAAAATGCTGTGTCTTGTTAGAAGGTAGTGTACTGTCTTTTGCAATTGTTAACATTTTGAAATGTCAAATCTCTACTTGTTCATTTTTGAAGGAGTATCCTCAAGTGTGCGCTCCTTAATAATATTAGCCAATGTTATATAATTTTCCATTCTCCCCCACCTTGAAATTATCAACTCTTCTTAATTTTCCTCGTTTACTTGTTGGTTCATCTCCCAAAGATTTGCTCATCAAAAACAGTTCTAATGTTGTTTAGAGGTATGCTAGATAACCTTGGGTAGATTGAAAGGAAAACATAGTGATTGACAACTAGCTAGTTTAGACAGGATAATGTAGATAATGCTTAATCTTGTGCAGTGTCTGTTTGTTGACCACATCTGTAGAGCAGTAGTGATCAGCTCTTCTGTGCTCTAAAAAGAATTTAAAATTGAAAGTGAACATTTGACAGCTTTTAATGAAATCAATTAATGAAACTGTTAATTTCATTTTTTTTTCTGCAGAGATGTGCAACTACCAGGGTATTTTTTATCAGTGGGATTTAAAATGACTTTTTCTACTTTTTATTGTTTCATTTAACACTTTCAAAGTGTTAAAGCTTTCAGTATCTATGTCCTTATTTAAGGCACACCTTAAGGTCAATGGTAAAGAAGTTTGCCATTCAGATACTCCTCTTCATCATGTTTTCCTTTTCTTAACTTTGCACACCCATAACTGATAAAATCATATGGCAGGATTTTTGCACTTTTGCTTATGTATTTCTGTTTCCATTAAAGTCACTGGCAGTATTACTGCCTTTTATGCTTGTAGCCTTGAAAATCTCACTGTTGCTTTTTGGTGTTCTTCTATTTACCTGGTAATTATTTGAATGCATTGTAACTTCAGGCATTGTGGATAACCCTCTGAATACAAGGACTATATAAAGATTGAGAATTAATCCTATGTTTCAAAATAAAACCAAGTCATAAAGTTCACTGAAACAAGAAACTGAATTGTAATGGCAGGAAGAAAAACACTTATTTTTCTTAGTTCAGCTGACCAGTGATTTTTTATCTTAACATATTTTTCCGTAGAGTTGTCATTTTGCTAGCAATGCTTTGTTGATTTAAACCTATGTTCGTGGGGTTATAGAGGGTGTTTTATATATTAATATACACACACACACGCCCGTAGTTGAGTGGCCTACTTCACTAGGTATGTTTCACTAGGTATATTTTTAGTTAGTCTTTGATTAAATAAAGCTGGTTTAAGTTATTTGACTTCTTTATATATATATGTGTGTGTGTGTGTGTATTCCTCATCTGTTCCTTTCAGAAAGTTGGTTGAATTTTCTAGGTAAGGGTGGCTAAAATATCCATATGGGATAGAGGAAAAAGGAGGGGAAACACATTTATAAACAGGGAAGTCAGTTGATTTGAGCATTACTTGTAAGTGTACTTTCAACGCCCATTAAAAGGAAAGACAGACTTTCAGAATTTAAAAGAATTGTTAGAATAGATGGATGTAAGGTAATTATTCAATGAACAGATAATCACTGATTGAAAAGCTATTTATGTAAATTTGAAAACATATATATATATATAGGCTTTTAAAAGTCTGTGCTGTTATCAAAGCTTGAACAGAATTTGAATAGTCATGTTTATTGAACTCATTTGGCAGCTCAGGTATCTGTGTAGGCCTTTGCATTTTAACAAATAATCAGGCTTTACTAACAAATTGATTTAAAATTGTTCAGCTACTTTTGTCCTTCTATTTTCAGTCCTCTTCAGGAAGAGAGGAGAAAACTGATGTTTTACTGTGCATTCATTAGTGACCTTCATTGAGATTAACTAGGGCATATCTGTGCCACTGTTCCCGTTCAGACTAACTCAAATGTGTCAAAGGTGCAGGGCAGCCAGTTCTGGGACCTCAGCTTGAAACAAAGATAAGCTACAGCAGATAGTAATTACAAATTTCTGTCTCTGCCTTAATTAAAACATTTGTTCAAATCCTTATTTTGAGACCCTAAACACAACATGTTTAGGATATATATGTTGATTAAAAATATCATAGGAGTTACTTATGACATAGTCCTGTCGAGAAATTAAGACCTCGCTCTGGTTTAAGCATCTTTCATGTCTATTAGTCCTTTATTCAGAGCAAGAATTTTGTCTGTGCTGTTGTGGTAAGTACTGGTTGTCTATCTGTGAAGAAAGATTGTGGAAAAAAGAGCTTCCAAAACAAGTCAGCTTTTTCATACTTATGAGATCTTTATTACTTGTACTATCAGTGTGTAAGGTTAAAATCTGGGAGGTCATGAATGAGAAAACAGGAGACTGTGATTTCTCATTCTGTCTTCTAGATCATGTAAGGATGGGTATCTTTATATTTTGTCATTTTGGATGGCAACATAGCTACTCTGATTTTTACTTAACTCTAGACCTTACAGTGTCTTTGTTTTATATTCGCACAGGAGCAAATAAAATGAAAATCAACGTAATAATTTCTCTCTTACTAGTTCCCTCAAAAAATTCTTTAGGGGCAATTTGTTGCACAGCTTTCTGTATATTAGCTTATTCTTTTCCTGTTGAACTACTCTTTTGGTTTGTTTTTTGCATAAGCCAAGTTTAGTCCAGTGTTAGAGATGATGACAAGGTTAGAGGTTAGAGAGGCTATGTCTTCTGTTCAAAATTAACCAAACAAGCATATGCCCAGTGATACCTCTGTCTATTCTACCTGTTCTTCCTTCTTGTCCTTATCTTGAGTCTCTTGTAGCACATGGGTGCACATACATTGTCCTTGCCATGTCATAACAAAGTCCCTTATTCACCAGGGGATGGTGTGAAGTGTCCCACTTGGTGATGTTTTCTTAACTTGTGAAATGCCGACAGTCATGGATTTCCTTACCCATTCTCATGAACCTGTGCTGAAAGCTGAAGGCAAGCTAGTAGCCTTCTGTTTGAGGAAAGGACTTCCAGCTGAATGCAGATAAATTTTCCAAGGCTATTCCCATTACTAGTTTGTCCCCTTTACTTTGATATTTCAGAGGGAAATTGGTGTAACAGTTGTCCGTCATCTGAAGGGCAAAACTCCCTTGCCATAGTTGATAAAGGCTTTATTTCAGCTGCTAAGGTTCTTCTCACGCTTAGAAGGTAGAGTAAAACGTACCACCCAGAGACTTAACCATGCTTTTTTTCCTCTTCACAATTTCGTTGCCACTACTTGTCTCTCAAATAAATGAGCATTTTCTTGTCAGAGTGGGAAAATGTACAAGTCACTGCATATAAATTAATGAAGTCTCAGTAGTGCTTAAATATTAAATTCCTAAAAGCAATAATGGAACATGCAAATATTTTTTCTAGTTTACAGTTAAGTACCTTTAATTTATAAATAGTTATGCTTTTGTTAGCTGTTGTGTTTGGTGCTTCCTCTTTCTAGTAAGAGCTGAAAATATCACTGAGGTGTTGTGTAGGCAGAATTGTAAATGTTGAGAGTGTGTTTGAGAAAAAGGCAGGTAAAGGCTACTTGATCATTGTGATTCCAGATTCTGGAAAATAATTTTTTTTTTTTTTGAGAAGAATAATTATCCTTAATAAAATCCTTTAGAATATGACTCTGATGAGTAACTGCAATATAGTTATTTTAGTGAACTTTTTCACTAACATAGATACAGTGTTATTTGCTGTATTTGATGGCAACTTGAATAAGCAGATTGAAGACACAGGAGCTTTTGTTTGAGTAGTGCATTGATAGTGACAGACCTTTCTAATTGCAACTGTCTTGTTTGCTGAAGAGAATTGAAGTTCGGTTGTAATTCAGAGTAGTGTCAGTGCTTAAATATGTATTTTTGTTTATGTGCCGTAAATTATGTGTTTTGATGAATGTATATGTGCATGATGATATATATAGATTAAAAAAAAATTGCTAATACAGGCATTCTTTTACTTGATTTTTTTTTCTCTTTTTTCTGTAGTTTACGATGGTATCAACATCCAACTGAAGAAGAGCTACGGATACTTGCAGGCAAACAAAGAGGGAAGAGTAAAAAAGATAGGTAAACACTTGTTTTAAGACCAAGTGTTTTTTTTTTGTTTGTTTGTTTTTGTTTTTTTGACTATTGTTTTGAAGCATAATCCAGATAATAACCTTACTGGGTAACTTTTGTGTTTGTGTGAGTGTAAAGCCTCTTGTTGCATGCCCTGCTCGCTTTGATTGCTGCAGTTCTGTACTGAGCTGTGCTCTTTTGGTTTAATACAGAGCTTAACGTGCCCAAATTGTGGAGGACTGTATGATTCCCAGTTCATTAAAGTGATCTGTAAAATCACCAATTTGGTGGCAAGACTTTGTTTAATGAATCTCTTCATTTGGGTGAAGACTGAGAATAGCAAATCTTCTGTAGGATTGAAGCTCTTCATCTTGAAGCAAGAGAAGAAAGATTTGATTATATTAGTTGAACACAGGATTACTATGAGCCACCACTCTTACACAGCTGTGAAAAAGGTAAATGTGCTCCTAGGATGTATTAGGTGAGGTATTTCCAGTAGAGGAGATAGGGAAATGTTAATCCTCTTGCACAAGGCACTGGTGTAGAACTTTATCTGGATTACTGTGTACAGTTCTGATCACTCATGTTCAACAAAAATGAATTCAGACTCAAACAGGTGAAGAGAACGGCTGCTAGGATGATCCAGGAAACGGAAAGCCTGTATTACAAGAGGAGGCTGAAGGAGCTTGACTTGTTTAACCTAGCAAAAAGAAGGCTGAGAAAGGATAGGTTTGCTGTGTATCAATTTAAGCTGGAAGCAGATTCCTAGCCATCAGACATGAAGTTCTGGAACAGCCCTACCAGAATAATAATTGGGGCAAGAAGCAAGGCTAATCTTGAGGTGGTAGAGCTTGCTATATTGATGCAATATTTCTGAATTGACTATGGACGAAAAAAAATATTTGCCTAATTTTTTTTTTCTTGTGTGATAGGAGATTTCTTTTAGTCTTTTTTATTTTATTGCAGTATGAACTGCTCTCCTGCAGTTCTTAATATCTAACTTTTTTGTTAATCCATAGGCTGCATATATTGTATGCTCATCATAAAAGCAAAGCAGACTTTTTCAATTTCTTATTTCTTAAGCTATGTAGGTAGCAACCTTATTTACCAAATTTTGGTGTAAAAAATAAGTCTTTCTTTTAATATTAATTTTGTTTCTCACAATAGTCTTCTAAATTCAGAAATTGGTTTTATCCAATTGTTCTGTAACAAATTAAAATAGTTAATATGAATAGCATTACGACTTATAACTGCCCATTTAACCAGTGGTGTTAAGCTATGTGTAAAACAACTTCAGTTACGTAACTGCGACACATTCCACCAATATGAGCTTTAAACAGAAAAGCACAATCATATTACCAAATAATAATTTCCTGTACTGCTAGTACCCTTCTTCGACTACCCTTCTGCCATGCAAAGCATGTATATTTTCACTTTTTACCAAACTCCTTTTCTAATGGTTAAACCTCTGCATTTTAATGTTCCGAATGTGATGCTGTAATTTCATGTCTACACACTCAGCTTTTGGGTCATTTAGTTATTTAGTGGTTGATCTAATTGTCTTAGTACATTAATATGTAACTTAAAAATATAGCTATAATAACAATATGTAGTTGTTTATAATAAAGTGAATTTTATATATGGGCGTAGGAGTTCAGAGAAACCAGGATGTTGTAATATCGAGACTTAAATGCTGCTTTCTTTGTTTTCCTATTGTAACAATAGGATGTGTAATAACCTGACTTTTCAGTCAATGACTATACTTCTTTGAAGAAGCTGCTGTTATTGGAGGAGAGGCCTATTTTAAAGTAGGAATTGTTCCTATTTACTTGCTTTGGATTTACTTTTTTAGGTTGCATGTGTTGGAATGCGGTGCTCATTTGAGCCAAGGAGATGCACCTCTTGACTTTTCCCATGTGTCTTCAAGATAAAGATTTTTTGTTTGTTTCTTTTTTTCCAAGTACAAAATCCTGTAATATACAATRCCTGCTCCTTAAATACTTCTCCAGATTAGAGTTAATAGAGAAATGGTAAAGGGGGATCCAGGGAACTTGCTTGGAAATTAGGCTTGGAAACAGCTATAGAGTGAACTTGTATTTAACTAGTCCATTTTATTCAATGCATAGTACATTGTACTGTAAGTTATAATAGCATGTGAATATAAGATAGTTTTTCTACTTCACAATGGTTTGCTTTATACTAAATTGTTAGGCTAATGAAAAGGCCCATAGCTACTGTGAATTACTCTGAATTAAAGACTGTCACTGATGCTAGGTATGTTCTCATGTGTCTCTTGGATTATGGGTCCCTGGGGATAATTAAAGTATAGGAGCACCAAATTTTGTTGAGCTGAGATGACTTCAGTTATCAAAATGCTCATCTCACTCATGATGGTACTCCTGGGTGCATGCAGGAGGAAAACATGAGAATTTAACAAGGAGGGTAGGGAGAACTACAGAGAAGTGAGCAGATGTGGAAATGGCTACACAGTGTTGAGTAATTCTGCTTTAGGCTTGGACATGGGTGTGGTGGTTTTTTTTGTTTTTTTTTTTTGGTAATGCTTCAGGTTTTTATAGCATTTTTATTGAATTTGTTCATTAAAAGTTTTATGTTTCAGTTAGGGATATTAAGAATTAAGATGACATGAAAAATAATATTTATTGATGCTTTATGCTGAATTTTCATCTTACACATCAGCTGGTAGGATATAACTCTTTAATAAGTTCATGGTTGATTTACAGGCATGTTCATGCTTGTGTCCTGATGACAATTCTTTCAATGGAAAATCCACCTCTCCTTACAATTTCAGGGGCGCTATTCTAAAATATGGCAGATAGATGTCTTCTAAGCATTTAGATGTTTCAATTTCTTATTTATTTATTTGGCCTAACAAAACCACTTTCTTGTCTGCTTTAATGTTATGTTTTTGTTTTTATGGGGTGTCTTTAATATAGTAGTGAAATAAGTTGTTTTTTTAGCCTGGTTTACAAAGCTGATCTTTCAGACCACTTCCATAAAATTAACTAGTTGTCATAACAAATTGAAATAATTCTGTGGCATTTTTATGCATTTTCTTTTAAATTAGAAAAGTATGTTAAAATTGTCTTTGTTTGAAGGCTGGTAGGATAGATCTGTGAAAGACCTAAGTTTCTCCAGCTCAGATGGTAGGCTTATTAATCAGTCTGTTGTGGCCAAAAGATGCAGTACTGGAATTTGGAGAATTCAGAAACGTGGTTACGATTTGCCTAACCGCCTCAGTTATCTTCTGAGCTGGATCACAGTTTGTTAGTTGTAGAGCATGTTCAGTAAATGGACGCTCCCAAGTCTCTCTTCTTCTGGTCCAGTGATTTTAATACAGCTGCCTTTCAGTGTCCTGGCCTAGACCTCAGTTGCAGATCCGTGCATTAGTTTGATTTTCTCATATATTTGTATAGTAGGGTGATACAGTCTGCAGTGTACCTGCAGTCCCGTCACTAGACGTGGGTGGACCTGTTGAAGCACCCTGCAGGTTATTGCCTGCTTGAACTGGGAAGTTCCCTTTCAGAGGAAGCCTGAGTGCTGGGTAGAGGGTGCCCGTGTGATACTGTCCTGATACATAGCCAGGATGCAGCAAACAGATGCTGTTTAGGCCTGTACATTTAAGAAAAGTAGTATTTCAGAGCCTTGTAAGGTAAAGCTAATAATTACTGACATAGTTGTTTCTCAAGATATGTGCATGTTTGAACTTGAGTTAATGCTTTTTTTTTTTCTTTTTTAACCTAGATAAACATTTTTGCATAAGGGGAAAAATGATCTGCACGCTTCTTAAATAATAAATATCTTTATGTAATTAACAAGTTGATTTGTTTGTATTCATGTTTCATTTACTTTTTTTACAGAAAATATAATGGTCATATTGAAAACAAGCCTCTAACCATTCCAAAAGATATTGATCTTCATCTGGAAACAAAGTCAGTGACTGAAAGGGACACTCTAGGTAAGGATAAGTGGATGCAGACAATGTATATTGTGTCAAATATATCCTGACATTGTGGTACATTGTTTTCCATCAAATGTTTATTTGCAATAAACACTGGAATATCTCTTTTGATAGACAATGAAAGAATAAAAGCACAACTGATTATAAAGTGAGAAGGCAAGAATTAGGGTTAAATCTCCTTTGTTGTTCCATGGGTGACATCTTAATAGCAGTGTTACAGAAAAGGATGTGTAGGTGAAATCCAGCATAAAGCACATCTATTGTTGTATCAGGCATTCCTAGCAATATGAGACAACACCAAAAGGATCACATCACTCCGTGTATTTGAAACAGACATAAAAAAATGTGATCATAGCTTTGTACAAGAAAATGACAACTGGCAGATGTCGAAACATGCGCTTTCTTTTCAGCTAAAATAGATGTGCTGTAGCATTGAAACCTAGACCTTTCACCCACACATCTACAACTTTGAAGTAAAATATTTAGAAAACAAAAGTGACACTGCAGAAATAAGCAGCATTAAATACTTTGAAAGTTAATAGATGTTTTTTGTAATGCTAATTTTTGGTTCTTTAAACATAACCAATTTTCTGTTAAAGAGAAGTCATACATGGATGGATAGGTAAGTATATATGATACATATTTTCTTCCTAGCCATGTTTTTACATGCACATATTATATGCATGAATGTAGAAAGAAAGCATAGTGCTGAGCAGGAGTTCTCTCAGCTTAAACTCTCCAAAATAGTGCTGAGAATACCTGATCTGTAACAAAAATGTACAGCTTTTTGAAACTAGCATGTAAATAGGCATGCTAGAAAAGCATTCACAAATTTAAGTTAGTAATTCTTGCTTCAAATAATAGTATTAAAGCATCTCCCTGAGAGCAAAATAAGCATCTTCTAACAGATACGGATACTGTGAAGGGCTTAAGTATCTTTTAAAAATTATATATGCATGCATACATTAAGTCTAACTAAATAGTTTTTTGAAAATAAATAGTAGACTTTCACTGAAATACCTGGATTCAGCTGATTTCTTGTTTTTGGCATCAAGTGCCTTGCAGTCAAAGGAAAAATGCTCAGTAGAATTTCTCTGTGTACATACAGTACATTAAATGATTGTCCCTGGGCTTTCAATCTTAAATAGAGAAATAGAATTTGTGATAACTGTAGTTAAAGTAGAGGATCATTTTCTACCTTGAAGCTGAAATCTAAATTAGCTGTGCTTCTTAATATTAGCAGGTTGATGCAAAAAAAGGTGAACTTGTAGAACAGTGACATCTTGTAGTCTCAGGAATTGTTGAATAGTAATCCAGTATCAAGCAACAGGTGAACAGTGAAATTCAGGTTAAAAGGTAGACTTACTGGGGAAAACAGAAGTTACTTTTTTTACTGTTGCTCTTAACTTAATTGCTGTGACCTCAAGAAGCAGCTCTGAAAATAATTTGCAATTGTCACTCTTTTCTGTATATGTCAATAATTTCCTTTAAAATATCGTTGCACATCTAAGATTTGCAATTTATATCTTTCAGCATTGCATTATTTTCCTGAGTATCAGTGGTTGGTGGATTTCACTGTTGCAGCTACAGTTGTGTATGTGGTGACTGAAGTCTACTACAGTATTGTGAAGCCCTCACAAGAAATGAATATCAGCGTAGTGTGGTGCCTGCTGGTCTTGGCCTTTGCAGTGTATCCTTTACTGTTTCCTTTAATCAGTMCATGCCAAACAGCTTTTATGTCATCCTACAATTCATAGGAAGCTGTGTATTGCTCATTTGCAGAATAAATATATATTTAACATTTGGATAAAGGATGTGTGTGGCAGTGCTCATGTTAGATAATGTATGTGCCGTTTGCCTGTACTGATGGAAATAACTTGTAAATCTTGATACCAGACCATATATGGAAGAAAATGAACAAAATGTATATGAACCAGAAATCAGTGCTTACCTGTAATAGGTTCTAAATAATAGTTCTCAATGATTAGATTTTGCCCAGGGGTAGATTTTTGTACCTGAAGTATTTAAACTAGCAGAAGTTTTCAAATTTACCACATGCTTTTTGCTTTTCATACATTTAGTATGGTATTTCTTTAGTATTCTTATAATGAAGCTTATAGGAGAATAAAATATGTAGATCTGTAGGAGCTGAGAGTTCAGTGAAGAGCTCCTGAAATTGAGAGAAGCAAAGCAGAGTATTTAGGAAACAMACATTATCAAGCCACAGTGAGAAGCACCTGTGATGTTTTTTATGTACTGCAGAAAGCAGTCTTGGACGCATATGTTTGTGTGGTAATTAGCTGTTTTCACCGACTGTTCCAGACTTATGCTTTGGGGAGGAAAGAAGCCTTTTAAAGATGTGAAAGGTGATGAGCTGAGGAATTGGTTAAGAGCCTGGGAATTGGTTAAGGACCTGTAGGAAGGCAGGGTATGTAGGGGTGAGTTAGAAAATGAATTTGTCCAATTCTTTAGTACCCTCMACAGCTAGTAACCAGTTAAATTGCCAAGTTAGACATAACGAAACACTTCAGTATTCGAGATTGATTGCTCTGTGGACATGACACTCTTTCCATGTAGAAAATCATATTGTGAGCTTTTTTGGTTTTAAGCACTGACTGTGAACTCTTGTAAAACCATTGACTTCTCATATTTGCCTAGACTTGTCTAACAGTTCTGGATGTGCTTACTATCTGTCTGTACTCGGTAATTGTTAGTGTGTGCTGCCCTTACAGTAAGGACAATAATTCCTTTTCAAAGTAGCTTGCAGTATGAATGAGATCCAGAATGTTCCTGGTCATGAGTAAGAACTCATCAAGAGGTGGAATTTACTTGCACTATGAAAGAACAAAGTGTGTGGCAATAGCTTGCTTTTCAGACAAGCCATTTCTCCGTTGACTTTTATTTGTCAATGGACAGACAGATGTAGAGGTGTTTTTCTCATCTACGAGATGGTGACAAGGAAAATAGTGCCTGACTCTAGTGCATTTTAAATGGGGTTTTTAAATCTGTGGTTTTAAGCAGCTTTTATTTTATTTCTAGAAATATTCCTATTTCGATCGTGACGAGAGGAGAGCAACTACTGGTTAAGAAGGCCGATGCCTTCCAACCCCATTTTGAGAACGTGGAAGGCAGGGGGGTTAATATAACTCATGAAAAAACAACTTTAAGAAAAATAGCAGTAATGTGTTCTTAAATGTATGGATGGTAACATATTGGTTCTCTTCTTGCTTTGTCTTTGAAACAAATCTTGAGTGTAACCAATTTGAGGAATACTATAGTAATTGCAACTCTAGGTGACAGAATGGTAAATTATTTATTGGCTTGGATTATAGGGGAAAATGGACTGAAGCACCGCTTTCTAACAGCGGAATTTAAATGCAGTCCTAATCACTGCTTTCATTTGAACATCTGTTGGTCGTGCATTCAGAGGCAAAACCAAACTCAGATGTTTACAAGGACTGAATTTCAAGCTTGTTTTCTTAGTAATGTGGAATGGAATTAGCTACAGGGGCCTTTTTTTTTTTTTTTTTTTTTTTTTTTTTTTTCCTCCCCCTCCTCCTGACCTGGGCTGCATTCAACAGTGTTTCTAGTGGGTTGGGAGAGGTGATCCTGTCTTTCTATTGAGCATTGGTAAGTCACCATCTGGAGTGCTGCATCTGGAAGATACTAGAGCGAGTCCAGCAAAAGGCTACGGAGGTCATCAAGGATGGAGCATCTTTCTTGCAAGGAGAGGCTGAGAGCRCTGGACTGAGCTGCTCAGCCTGCAGAAGAGGAGACTCAGGGGATTTTATCAATGTGTTAAATATTAAATGGAAGAGGAATAAAGAAGGAGACAAGCTCTTCTCAGCGGTGCCCAGTGACAGGACAAGAGGCACAGAAATCCCACTGGAACATGAGAAAACACCTTTTCACTGTGAGGGTGACCAAGCACTGCAGCTGGCGTTAGCAGCCTGTTCTGTCTGACTCTGCTTGAGTGGGGTTTGGTCTAGATGGGCCTCCATAAGTGCCYTCCAGCCTCAACAGTTCTGGGATTCTTGGTTACATTTTCTGTATTTTTTTTTACTACATGCGTGCAATTAGAAATAATGTAGAGAGCTTTATTTGTTTTTTTTATTGTAAATCCCCAAATTATAGCTATTTTATCAGAAATGCAAGTGGTTCTTTTTAACCATGTGTATAAATGCTGATGGACTGTACAGTAATTCAAAAAATATAAAATTACTGCATCTTAAATAAAAGATAGCATACAATTTCTAGAAATAATTCTATAAATTCTAAAAACTTAGCACTATTTATGAAATAAGTGAAGTAAAGGAAAGTAAAACCCCCCCAAGCTATTAACATAGCACTCAAGGCTTTGTTTTAGTTCCTGAAACAAAGTTTAACATTGAAATGGAAGTCATGAAGAAAAGTCACATTTCCTTTACACAGTACTTTGAATTCACTCATCAAGTAGTAGCAATGGTGATTATTCACATTACTTGAGCCTTTTTACTTGATTTATAYAATCCTTAATTTGCCTAAAGGTATCTGAACCTGTGCTGTTGCTGGGATTTATTATCAATGTGCTTTTTCAGTTACTTGTTTTTGGATACTTTAGGTGCAATCCATAGATGAAAATATAAAATATCTGCGGAGGCAGATATTTTATAAAAAAAAAAAAAAAATATTTTATAAAAAAAGCCTGTTTGGAGGTAGCGCTAGTGGTCACAAGCTATTACAAAGTACTTTGTGCATCTTCAGGATTTGACTGTAATATATTTCAGTTTGTGCTCAGCATCACTAACTATGTAAGGATACTTGGTTTAAGAATGTCTTATTTTTGGTGGAATGTTTTACATTTGCATTTTGGAAAAAAAAATGTTTATAAGGATTGGAGTTACCCTGTTCTTCCTAACATCCTTTAATATAAAGAAAGACACCTTTTCAGAACATACTGTATGTGACTTATTATGTACCCATTTTAGGATGAGGTGAGTATTCCTTGAGGCATGCCTGTTCTTTTTATGAACTATAAAGGCAGCTTAAGCTGATTACTGTGAACTTAAGAGTCAAGTTAGATGCTGTGGTTAGGCCACTCTAATGTGCATATATGAATATTTCTCTGCATATAGATGAAATACAGCAATGCATATATTAAATGTGTGCTGCTTAATGAAGTGCAGTATTGCATAATCATATGCTTTCATGAGAGATTAAGTGATGACAGTTGAAATGTTTTATTGAATAGGTCCCTAAAATGGATTTTCATGTACTCTACATTCTAAAATATATTTCAAGTATGTAAAAAGGTACAAATATAAATGACTATCAAGTATGTAAAAAGGTACAAATATAAATGACTATGCTATGATGTAGTAGGAAAATGTGTAGACTTTACACTTAATCTTTTTTTTCTCCCTTTTTTTTTTTATTTTTATTTCAAAGCAAGTACTATCTGGAGTGATCTCTAAGTATTTTATTTAAATATGAACTTGATATCACTTGCCATTTGAAAAAAAAATTATAATGGGCTCCAGCATATATTAATAAGAGTTGACAGTATATTATGAAAAATTTATATTAATCTAGTGTATAGTTTTGGRGCTAATTATGTTTAGAAATGCATTAAAAATGAGAATATTCAATGAACKTTTTTTTTAAACAGCTTGATAACAGAGCAGGCAACCTCTTAGATGTAACCCTGCTGCCACAAATACGAACATGAAAGGAGTTGAGGTATCATACAGAGTGTGTAGTCTCTTGTTTTCAAAATGGGAAAGGAGTAGATTGCATTTGCTAGATAATACTGAATATSCTGTTAATTGGGCAATTGATTTTGATAGTTGAAATATCATGAACACCTTGCTATGGAAGTAGAGAAACACACATCGTTTCCTAGATTTTTCTGTTTAGGAAATAGACATGTAATAATCAGCATCAGTGAGCAGCTGCATGGCACTGGTCCCTGTTCTTTGTGCACCTGGTGTTTCCTGCCCTGCTCCCCAGATAGAGCACAAAGATGCTCATCTGACATTTGAATGGTGTCTTGAGAAAATCTTTCAGTATTTCTGAAATAACAACAAATATGGCCTTCATTGCCATTTATTAAAAAAGTGGAACTTTTTTTTTTTTTTTGCTTTTGAAGAGCTAAGTCTTCTGCTTCCAGTAATCATTGTGTCTGAAGATGAGGAAAATTTAATTGAAAGAATACAGATTTTATAAGACTACTTGGAAGCTTTAATTGTTTCAGAAAGCTCAGCTGACATTCAAGAGAAAAGCTTTTGTTTTAAATGGTTATTGTGTGTTTGTTGCCTTTAGTTTACAAACAAAAATCTGTGTCCTCACCTTTTCTGCCTTTTACTCCACCAAGAAACAATATTTTTGCTCTCTGTATGTATTTTTGTGTGTGAATGGAAGTGTATGTCCAAACACACATTTGCATGCAGTTAACTTGAGATTGAAGCACCGTTTTGACCCAGATAATGTCAGCAACAAACATACAGTGACTTGAATGATTCTATATTTTTGATTTTGAACTTGATTTCTGTAGTGCAGAATTTTGAATGTAGCCATTTGGGATTGTGCATTTTGACAGGACATGCATACACTATCACTGCGGTTTAAAAAATGTGTGTACTCACTTCCCTGTGTTCCCTGTTCTATTCAAAAGTAATGTTTTGAATTTTGAAGTTAAAAAATGTGAAATCTTGAGTTGTTTAGCTTAATTTTTTATGTAGCTTGATTTTTTATATTGAAGATATATACATATGTTATATATCTTCAATATAAAAGGTCTTGTTTTGGTGCAACTTGTGTAATTCATTATAATTATGACATAACTGATTTATCTGTCCCTGCTTGATAGCCAAATACAACAACAATCACTATCAGTAAGCCTGAATCAAAACAAAACTGTATTTCAGAGTAGTATATTAYACCTAGCTACTCACTATGATATTTTGTGTCTGTGCTTATTAAATTTTCCAAATTCTGTAAAGCATAATTAACTCTCAGATTGGCATAGTGCATATTATTTATTTAACACTCGGAACAATATTAGTATAGATGGTAAAAATACGGTGTTATAGTTCTTAAGTATAGTTATTTTACAAGCTCTTAATTTTCCTTGACCTTTTCCTTGTTTAGTAAGATACTGTTTTCATTGACCACTCATTATTTCAAAGTAGAAGATGGAGGCGAAAGATCTGTGTGTGTCACCTTTGGCTTTTTCTTCTTTGTGAAAGCAATGGCAATCCTGATTGTGACGGAAAATTACCTAGAATTTGGACTGGAATCAGGTAACTGTTTTCCTCCATGTTTGCAATAGGCCTATTGATTGCATGAGCTGAAAATCTCCTGTTAAGCCTTCGGGTGTTCTTGATAGTATCTTTATTAAAATGAACTTTCTGTGGTAAATTTTTAGGTAATCTTGCTTTGGTGTATGGTTCTTGAAGGCTATCCTGTGTATTTTCCCTGTTTGTTTTAGATAGTGTAGTCTTTGCCTATATTGCTTGTTTTATTAATTTTATTTGCCTTCCAGTTTTATTTTTAACCCATTTTACTTTGCATAGTAAGGGGAAGCTCCTCTACAGAAAAGAAGATACTTATGTTCTTAAAAATTAATGTAAATTTTATTCACGTTCATGAAATGTACAAATATCAAAGAGATGTTTTCAAAGACTGCTCATGTTAATAACCAAGTTTTATTGCATTGTGGCATGCTAATTAGCACATGAAAGAGCTACGCTAGACATGTGAAAATTTGTTTTAAAGATGTTCTGTTACCTAGCATTTTATTTCAAGAAAAAAAAAGATTCTGTGTTTGTACTGTGAAAAAAATACATATATTATATGTCTCTCTACAGGATTCTCAAATTTTTCGGAAAGTGCGATGCAGTTTCTTGAAAAGCAGGGTTTGGAATCCCAGTAAGTTTCTGGAAATATATTGGTCTTCATTATGTTGCATTAATAACTGARCCCCTTGAATTTGCTTAGCAAGCGTTTGTGTTGCATGCATTGCTTTTGCATATGCTTGTACTCTTCTGTTAATGAAGAGGTGGATTAATGAAAATAATCCATCAGTATCTGCAAGCAACTTAAGTTCCAGATGTCTTTTCTCTTTCTAGTTTTGATGCAGTTTCTGTCCTAGCAGTTGCCTGAGACTATGAAGTATAGTTCAAATTATGAACCTCTTTCTCATTGTAATTCCAGAACCGTTTCTCCTTCTCTGAGAAAAGTGCTTAAATCAGGAGATTTTCTTTTTTTTTTTTCTTTTTTTTTTCTTTTTTTTTTTTTCCAGCTTCTGTGGTATGCAAGAACATGAGAGGGCAAAAACCTGTCACAGAGCCTGTGATAAAGTTGGAATTAGGAGTAAATTTTGGCTTTGAGTCATATTTTCAGGTGGAAATAATATTTTCCTCTATGCAAATATATCTACTTGCTATAGTACATCCAAGTATTGTACTGAGAAAGGAACGCCTCTTGACTTGTAATATTACTTATGTGTACAGTCACTCATAGACCTTTTATATATATTGCAAAACTTGATCTCTGTTACAGTCTTTTTCTGAAACGTATGCTCTAAAATACTTATATGAAGTATGTCATCACTGAAGGCATACAACTTTATATTTCATGTTCAAAAGTTCTAAAATATTGTATAAGAACTGTGTTTTTTTGTGAGGAATAGAAGTTTCAAACACACATATATACACACACACACACACACTTAGAATAATCTGTCTTTTTATACATGTGGATATTTAATGAGAAAGAAGCCCATAAAATGAATCCCATGTGTTTCTTAACCTATTTTTGCTCTAGTTTTCCTAAACTACTCAGAATTTACTTCTGTATTAATTTTCCTGTTAGTGTCCAATTCCTTTCTCTCAAACTTTTGCAGTGCTTTGGCTTATAGCAGTGATTGAGTTGACCATATTGTCTCTCGTTCGTTTGAACGATGCAGATTAAGAAAGAATCTGCAGCTCATGTGGGTCACTAGACTTGCTTCTGTTCCTCTTTAATCTGTATTTGTTGTTTGCCCCCCTYTTTTTTTGTCTCGTGTAACCCATGGTTATTAATACATTAAATGAGTTGATTCTGAATTTATTTCCTYATCTATGATATACTGAAAAGATCGTTCATTGTAACAAACAATACCCCTTGCTTGGTAGAGATATGTTGGTTAGCCCTATCAAACTGYTATTAATCCAGTTATCCACAGATTTATTGTTAACATACATAGGGCTATTTAAGATTGAATGCAAGAATTAAAAAATTCCCATTTTTTGTCTTTGAGTGGTTAAAACTTACCATATATCTGTTCTTGTATAAAAAAATCACTACATTCTACTAGCCAGTCTGATATAATAACTCACTGTCATTTACAATTTTTTTCTTTTTTTTTCTTTACTAACAAATTTAATTAGTTTAGGTTTTTGTCTTCCTGCATTGAAGAATTTCCTTTTTTTTATAGGTGACTTGAATTTTTTTTTATTATTATTTCAATTTCTCAAATTGCTTTGTAATAATGCTGATATTCTAGAGTCAAACCATAGAATACTGTTTGCTCTTTTGATAAATGCTAGATAATGTTAAGTTGAAAGTAGTCTCTGATTTGCCCACCCCAACTCCCCCTACCCCTCAGAAAATGCTTATTTCCTTTCTTTTCTTTTAGGGGTCCTGTGTCTAAACTAACCTTCAAATTGTTCCTGGCTGTTCTGTGTTCACTTATTGGTGCTTTTTTGACATTCCCTGGCTTGCGACTGGCTCAAATGCATCTGGATGCTCTGAATTTAGCAACAGAAAAAATAACACAGTAAGAGAAAATATACACACATAGGTATATGCTACCCACTCTTAATTCTCTATTTGATGTCTGAAAAGAAAAACTATTCCAATAAGAAGGTAGTGACTAAGACTTGTGTTGCTGCCTGCTTTTCATATATCCAGCAAACTTGCCATCTGCCTCTTTCTGCTCAACCTGCCCTCTGCCAGTGTATTATCTTCTCTGCCTCTGAACTAGAGTGCCAGTTCAAGGAATGTCCCTTTCCTCCAGCAGGAGCATTTCTGTTCCAGTGTGAGTGTTTCTACTTCCTGCTTTCTTTTCCCCGTCACATCTTTTTGGAAATGCAGATAACTGTGGAAGAAGAGGTGCACCCCAATTTATTTATTTATTTATTTATTTTATTTGTGCTTCTTCCAGGTGATGTTAAAGAGTTTAGGGTAAGATCAACAAGAAGATAATGAAAGGAATAAATAGCTTTAGAAAAGCAGTGAACTGGAAACAGAGGAAATCTAAAACTCAGTAAAAACCTCTGTTAAATGTTGAAATTAGAATAGCATATAGGAAACAAGTTCAATAGTTAATACTTTTGCCTTTAAAATTAAAGGTAAATTAAAATTATTTTCTTCAGTATTTCCAGGTATCTTGCGTTGTTTTGATGCAACATATATAATAAGGGTCAGAGGTTTATTAATCTTAAGGGAATGCTTTCATTTTCAGCTGTTCTTGGGGTTGGAAATAAAATTGAAGTATTTCTCTTCAGCATTATTTTTTTTTTTTTTTTTTTGTTAAGGAAACAATTTCAAATGTTCAAATTTCATAGATCACAGCCTCTAAATATTTAGCACATGTTAATGAAGGATTTTGCAGCATGAACTGTTGTGATCGTAAGTGTTGCTGCTTACATAAGAAACTTGTTAGACTTCGACATGAATTTTTTTTCTTTTCCAATTAATTTTACTCAAATTAAGGTGTGGGTGTACATGTATGCGCACAAAATTTTAGCTCTTAGCCCCAACTGCCCACTTGAAATAACTATCTGTTTTCAGAATGGATCTTTCAGCCGGGGARTTGTTAATTAATTAATTAATTAATTCCTCTGTATTTGACACTACTTTCTTATTGTAGTCGAATGCATCCAGTTACAGCTGCAAGATGATGGATTTTGTTACATCTACTCTTAAGTTTCTGTCTATGTATAGACTGTGATCAAGTCACCTCTTTAGTCTTTTATTTTTTCAGCTAAGCAAATTATACTCTTGAGCCTTTTGTTTTTGTGCTTTTCAGTATTTTAAAAGTTCCTATGTCTTYTCTGGAACTACTGTTTTTTCCAGTATTTCTCTTGATCTGTGGATTCTAGATTGCTAGATTGCAGAATCCTAGGTCTAGGAAAAATATAACTAAACATAACTTGATTAATCAAGAACTAAGAGGGTGATTAATATCCACTCATCTGGAATTGTGGAAAAGAAAAAGGAAAAATTTTAAGACTTTTGTTGTACTTAATCTTTAGTGAAAGTTGAAACTGATTGTGCAGCATGGAGCAAAATTTTTTTGTAAGTCTACCAATACTGTGCCTATTCAACTGTAGTAATATAAAAAATGATGTTAAATGGATTARAAAATTGGTTAGATATCAATGTAATTGGGTAATGCAGTTATAAATAAAGAATCGTTGCTGACTGATTGTTTTTAATGGGCTCTGAAGAGATCAGTTTTTGCCTTAAGTGTTGTGTTTTTATCAATGAGTAGATCATTATTGACCGTTTGCAGTAGTTTGACAGTGACTAAAGGGGAGCAGTAAATGAGGATGACATGTCATTGATACAAAGCTCTCTAATTTGGGTCCTGGAAAACAATGCCTTTCCCTGCAGTCAAATATAAGGTCATACATTTGTAAAGCTTAAAAGACACAAGACATAATTACAGAATGTGAGACTTTCCTTATAGGGAACAGTAAGTAAAAGAAGAGGAGGTTAGGTAAATGATCAAATTCCACTTCTCTAATTGGCCAAAATCATAACCATGATTCTTCTTACCTATATAAATATGGTATAAAATTTCGTGCAAAATAAAATTAAAATAACTTGATATCCCTTTTAATTCCAGTAGACTTTTCTGTTTTGTTGTTGTTGTTGAGTTTTTTTTCCCTTTAGCAGCAACTTTCATCCTTGGATATATTTTGGAGTTCCTTAATCTACTTGTACCACTTCCCTATACATTCTTTTTTTCCCTGAGCCTGCTTCCAGAGTCTTTCAGCCTTTCTCCCTCAACTCTAATAAACWGAAAGCAATTCTTACCACCCTTTGGCACATTCCAGTCCATTAACCTATTAGGAGGTCTCAAATAAGTAGAAACTCAGGTAAAATTCTTTTGGAAGTTATTGAAATGCTTTGGACCGTTCCTTGGTGCTGTAGTGTTCCATAGCAACACTGCATAACCAGCAGTGCTTCTTTCTCCGTATGAAACCAGTGATTTAAACTGTATGGTGACATCTTCTGAAACGTGCAGATGTTTAGGACGCTTGATAATTTGAAAGCAGTAAGGTCTTACGTTTTTAGATCAATTTGATTACTTCATTATTTTCTCTATAGAGTAGAAGCAGTCTGGCTGGAGATGGCAACATAGACAAGCTGAACCTGTTAGTRAGGAAGTGCTCCCAGCACAACACCAGATCTGCAGCATCTTCACTGTGTTGTCATTTGAGTAATGCAAAAAGGCAGGGATATGGGGCTCAAATGAAGGTTAACTTCAAGAAAAACTTACAGAAATCTATTTTGTCTTTTCAAATGCAAATGTCTCTCTCTTTTTTTTTTTTTTTTAACTTAGAGCTTAGAGCTGCCTCTACTTTAACTGTGTAGTGTAATAGAGGGAATGTAGTGTTTTTGAAATGAAGTGGCTTTGTTTATTATTTTAGTAAGAGTATCTTTAWTTGCATGTAGGCACCAAGTTTCATTTAGTGAAGATTTCTATTTAAAAATTGCATTAAGCTGGAAAATATGACCTGTGAGAATGGTTTCCTGTTAGTGGAAAAAAAAAAMCCAAAATAGCAGCATATATGTCATAATTATCCGAGTTACCAATCCTCTACATTATGATTTTAATGGCTACCGCAGTTCTGGGTTATGCCATTGTATGCAAATTTTCAACAAGTGACCGTAGTGTAGTGTAATGAATGTAGCTCATTTTGGTTAGTTTGATGGAATGTCTGAAAAATGGATTTATCCCTCCCTCCTTTTATTTATTTATTTATTTATTTATTTATTTATTTATTTATTTATTTATTTATTTACCACAGTGACTTCTTAATTTACTTTATTCCTGGTTTTGTGAAACTTAGGTCGTAAGAAAGTAATTTTCTTTTTTACCTTTTCCCAGTATTTTAAAATTGAACTACTCTTTTTGAATCTGTACCAGCAATTTTAACAGAATATTGATTTTCTGTTTTTAATAACTCCCCTTTCTCTCCCCTCCACCCTTTTTTTTCCTTCTTTCAGAACATTGCTACATATAAACTTCTTGGCGCCTTTACTTATGGTTCTACTGTGGGTAAAACCTATCACTAAGGACTACATTATGAACCCACCTTTGGGCAAAGAGAGCATTCCTTTGTAAGGTTCCTTTTAAAAATTCTTTCTGGAATATTTGGGATAAAACCAAAAGTGCAAGTAGTACATTGTAAAAGTTATAACAATGTAGATGACTGAAAATTGTTGGTATGGCTATATCTGTCTCGAAAGGTACTACAGGCATTTTGGCTGGAAGGTCTTCTGTAGTTAAGGAAAAAAGGAATTAATTTAAGAGTGTTAAAGCTTGATGAGAAATGTAAAGCTGTGGTTCCCAAAGAGCTGCTGTCTTCTGGCATCTCCTTGGAGTCCTGTGCTGTTCTTCCTTGGAGCAGAATACTTCTTTATTGCCAGTGTCTAATACCTGACATCTTTCTTAGAGGTGTGAGAGAGAAGTCACTTCACTGAAGACAATTGAAATCATTGGTGTGAGAACTGACCTAAGGCTCTTTGTACCATGAGATTTGTCCTAAGATCTGTGTAGATCAAATGCATATGAAATTTGGTAGCTAAAATATTTAAAAGCATAAAAGAGAAAGAATTTTCAGGAAGAATAGCTGAAATTAGCTTAGGAGCATAGGGGATTGTCATTGTCGTCTTATTAATGTAGCTAATTTAGTTCAAAATAGTAAGACACTGACTTGAAACTCATGTGAATGTCACCTTCTGCTTTCTAGATACAACTGATGTTTCTAAGATAACTCAGTGGTCACAGAATTGAAAAAAAGTTTGAAACACAAGTTTTGTGTTTTCATTTTATTTCTCTTTTTCTTAAAATCGGAGTTGTGCTATGGTTGTGCTTGTAAGGTRTAAGGTAGCTGCAAGTATATATCTCAAAAGCTGAATTATCTATAAGAGCTTGTTTTTGGCATCCTATCTTCATTGCTCAGAATTCAGCATTTAAGATTGTTCTTGTTTGCACGTGAATAGGTGCTAATTTGGGTCTAATGCTAAAACAGGGTGACCAAAAAAGGGGGAGGAGGAGACAATGCACATGCATTTGYACATGAACTTCAGTGTCTTCACAGATAATACTAGCAAATAACTCTAATGACCTTTGGAAAGCATTACCTTTCTTTTCCTTCAGGATGTCAGAAGATACGTTTGACACCATGCGGTTGTGGATTATAATCCTGTTGTGCGTGTTGCGGTTGGCTATGATGCGCAGTCATTTGCAGGCCTACCTGAATTTAGCACAGAAGTGTGTGGATCAGATGAAAAAGGAAGCTGGCAGAATAAGTACAGTTGATTTACAGAAAATGGTAAGTGAAATAGCGTTAAGCTTGTATGTAGTTGGAGTGCATGCTCTGTGCAATTTCTTTTTAATAGGAAGATAAACAGCTGGTTTGTTGTGTCTTTGTGGCACTAGAAATCTGWACGAAGCTTCTGAAACTACTATCCCTTATAAGAATGGGATCATTARAGAGAAACTTTGGAAACCAAAGAGATGTCATCCATTATTATATGGATGCTTTGTGAAGTTGTTTATCCATCTGAGAGATTCCTGCATGAAATATTCTTTGCAAACATTTTGGCAAGCCTTGTGCTTACCGCGATGATTGCTTCTGTTAATCGTATGTAACCTAGTGAGCATGTAGGGCGAGTGGTTATTTGTAGCTACAGTGTGAGGGAAAAAATAGCTTTTGATAGAATGGCAGAATGTTGTTTACCTAATCTCAACTGTGGTTTTTAAATTGGGACAAAGTTTAAGATAGGTTGGCTGTATTTTGGGTAACATGAGTTAGTCCTCTAGTTGTACAAGACCACTCTCAGATGGGCTAGCCTAGATACAAAACTGTCTGCCTGTCTGGGCAAAGTAATAAAGAGGAAAGAGCTCTTTAAATAATAACACAACTCAAAGAGCTCTAAATAAATAAATAAATAAATAAATAATAACACAACTCATTTATTTATTTATTTATTTATAACAAACTGAAAAGTAGCTTTTTTTAAAGTTTGTTATAAAATAATAAATTTATCATCTTTCATGGTGGTGACATCTGACACTCTGCTGAATCAGAGTGTATTCCTGAAGAAACGTAGAAGTGTGTCATGGGATGGAGCATCTTTTCTGCGTTTGGATTGTCCCTACTCCTGTGCTTCTCCACAAATATTCGGGGGTTGTGAATGGGCTCTGCAGTGGTTGCTATTTTTAATATTAGGTTGCAAAGTGACTAGCACCAGGCTTCAACAAAACAGGGAGTACAGCTAGTGACAAGGGGCTGTGACAGAGCTGTTGTAGTTGTTGTGAATGTATTAGCTTAGTTTGGGGAGATTTCATATCATTTGTAAAATCCCACACTCCTTTTTCTTTGGAGCTCTTGCCAGTGAAGTTCTCYCTGTCTGTCTGTCTGTGCTGGTCATTACTCTCTTACTTGCTCTAGTAAAATAATTGATGGCATATGATAAAAATATTTTTGTCTCATGCTTTTCCTTCTGTCAGTGTTTTACTATTTTCTTTTTAGCTCTTGTTAGTTTTTGATGCTTGCTCATCTCAAAGCCCTTTGAGGTTTTAAAGCTGTTTCCAAAAATGTCATGTCTGCCTTCATCTTTCTTGCCACCCTGTATTCTGTACTTTTGTGAAATCCAGTTAACTTTATTTCATTGCCTGCTTGCTATTGATTTTATGACTTTTTTCCTTCTTTATTTGATCTAGTCTTTTAGGTCAACAGCTTATATAAAATATGTAATGTAACAATYGTAAGGAAGATGGTACAGATTGGGAGCAGGGAGAGGGATAAATCTGAGTGGGTCTCAATGAACCATAATGTGTATCCGAAATAAAGACCATTTAAATACCTTGTTATTGATCAGCTACTAATGAAAAACCCTCTTGTCTTTGTTTTTAAAATACTGGTATTTCACATTTGGAAATATTAAAAATACCTCACCATGAGAAGAGATTGGAATATTAACCACACTTTTATTTACTTTTAATGAGGATTTAGACTGTGACTGCTACATCATTTTTGAAATGGGATTTAGTTTGGAATTTACTTGATATTTTAAAAATTAACTATATATTGAGCTTTGAGATGGCTTAGCAAAATCGTAAGTGTATTGAGATATGAAACCTTGAATGCTTATTTTAAGTTAGCATAAGTAAGCTAAATAAGTCTTGTTTAATAAACTGATATTTGTAATTATTTTCTTTATTTCCTTTCAGGATTTTGTGTGCTGCAACTAGAATTCATTTTAGGGATAACTTCTCTATTAGATCTTTTTAGCATACCAAAACATCCTAGAAAACTTTTTAAAATGCTTTCTTTTTGAATAGGAATATATTTTTTTAGTAATTGCTTGTGTGTTTGTTTTCCTAAACATGTACRTAAAGGTGTTTGTTTTGGATGCCCAGAACTCATGAATTACTCTCTTCTGTCTTCTCAGGTGGCTCGGGTTTTCTATTATCTTTGTGTTATTGCACTGCAGTATGTTGCACCATTGGTCATGCTCCTTCACACTACTCTGCTATTGAAAACACTAGGTAGGCAAAATTTGATGAACATAAATGTGATTTGTTCTATATGTTCCTATATTTTCAGGTTGCTAAAGAGAATTGAAAAGTATGGGTACTTGGAACCAAGAAATGTTTAGTTGTTTCCTGCCATTTAAAACTAGCTGATAAACAACTTTTAAGCTGATAAACATCTGTTGCTGTGTTTGATGGCTTTCAACAATATGCCAGTTTGATTTATTTCTGATAAGTTGTTTAATACAAATTAAGCTGTTTTGTCTTCATTGCATTTTTCATCTCCTTGCAAGTACTTTAAAAATCAGCTGTATAAAGAACATCCAATTTAACTTTATGAATAGTTGTTAAGTCCTTTTTCGATTTTTCAATCTCCAAAATTTCAGTGTTCAGTGAACTTTTTGAACACAAGCTATAGGATGCAGGTTTTGTTTCATTGTTAGGAGACCTGCTCTGGCTCCGAGCTTTCTCTCCTCTCTCGTGAGGGGTGTCTTTCACAGCTTGCCACGCAGTGGTGGCATTCATTTTGCCAAAGGTCAACAGAAAGAAGTAGATATCATTAGGCTGTGATTCATTCCATGCTAAAGTAGGCATCCACATCTGGTGAGATGAATCACACCAAGCACTGTCCCGAGGCAAGTGGTTCACATGTAAACGTCAGGATGTCAAAAGGTAAGGTGAATCCTAGCCTGCTGGCTTACTAGTATTAGCAGGAAGCCAAATGAATGGATACAGTTAATATTTACTAAGTTTATAAGTAAAATTTTCCAGTTTTTATRTGTGGAGGAAAAAAAAGACCTTTTTTTTTCTGTCAACTGCAAAGTTCATAAAAATGGCAGGATTTAGGCTAATTCTACAAACAGCTTACCAGTTACTTTTTTTGTTGTTTGTTTTTTTTTAAACAGGTAATTATTCTTGGGGCATCTATCCAGAATCTAATTCTGACACTCCAGTAGAAAACAATCCGCTTCCCAGCTCAATGTATTCAGAGTCTCCATCTGCTGATGGAAAGATGAAAGTAACTGTAGTACAGATAACAGTGGCTTTGGGAAGCCTAAAGAATATTTTCACTCCTCTCCTTTTCCGGGGACTGCTGTCTTTCCTCACCTGGTGGATTGCTGCTTGCCTCTTTTCCACGAGCCTTTTTGGGCTTTTCTATCACCAATACCTGACCGTGGCATGAACTGAGCAGCTGGCCAAGCAAGTATGAGGTCACCTTCTAGATACAAACCCAGGTACCCAAGAGGAGATGAAGATAAAAGAAAGCTATATACGAAGAGAAAACATATCAGAGTTTATTCGTAAACACTTCCTCTGCGTTCTCAGGGTGAATATTCTTAAAATGTTTAAAATCAGAACTGGGTTTGTTACTGTTGTTACCAAAATGGTAGGTAACTAGTTGAATTTATTAAGGTTGTTGTGTGGCTGGTGTTGGTGGGCATGTTGAGAAGATAACACCTCCAGGCATCTTGATTTCCACGAGCAGCGAGCCGCTCTTGAGACCTCGTGTCTCGAGGGTCGCAGTGGGCGCGTGAGCGACGTTAGGAGGGTGCCTGCTACGCTGGTGGTGGCTGCTGCTGAGTGACATCTGGGAACTGAGCCATACAGTGAAGGGGAGGGGGAGAGGAGATAAAAGCTTCTGTTGGATAGCTGATGATCACTTTTCACCATGGGAGATGAAATAATCCAACAGGACAGGAAAGATGCTGTATATTACAGTAAAGAAAGTTACATAACGTTTAAATTTAGCATAGGAATAGATGTGTAGACCGGGCAGATATTGCTGCCTAAATATATGCAGGAATGCTTGTGCAGTGGGAGAGGTGTTATAAAAATATATATTATTGCAGTCCCTGCAGTCATTTTTAAGTACTGGCCATCTGTATTGGTGCTAATATTGATCCATGGGTTCCATTTGGGTCTTTTAAATTTCTTCCTTTCAGGTAATAGATAAATACCATTGAATTCACAAAATAATTGACGTAGGCTAGTGATACCAATCAAACATTTCAAAACAGAACAGTTTAATCCTGCTGACTGAGAGTGTATGTATCTGTGTAATGTACATATAAATATATATTATATATTAAATATATAATATATATGAAACCTATAAAATATTGAATCTTTATTTTAAATTACTGAATGTATGTTACAAGGCAGTGGGGCAGGGATATATGTGTATCTAGTAGTTTTAAGATCCCCTTTGAAATGAAAAATTAAAATTTTTTTGAAAGTTCAGTTTGAAAGGGCTGTTTGTTTTTGGTGCCTCTACAAAGGTACTTAACTACACTAACCTTTGCTGTTTTGGAAGACAAGATCCACCTAAACTGTCTAATCCTGAGATTTTTGCTCTGTCAGATCATCATTTTTGCCAGTTTAATCTTTGTTAACTTGGCCATATAGTAACAACTAATACAATTTGGCTTCAGAAGTAGATTTTCGGTATAGTAAAGCAGTTATAGTAAGGAGGAGCAAAGTGTCTATATTACAAGTTTCATTTAATTGGTAGGACAGATACTAAGTATAGAAACCTTGGGAAACAAGCTAGAATAACAGCATTTTACAGATTTTATGTAATCGGGAAACAGGAGTGGAAACTTAAATGGAGTAGCATTCTTTTTAATAAGCTGATGGGAGTTCTCAGTTTTTAATCTTAGCTTTTTTTTATGTTACTATTCTTTTGAAACTGTGCAAAGCTTTGGCATATAATAAGCATTTATAAATGGAAATCTTAACAAATATTTGGTCTGTTGCAAACTTACCATATGTGAAAATGGAAGAAAAAAGTGTCAATGGATACAGAAAATTAAGGATTTAAGCTGGTGCTAACTGTCCTGCTACTCTGAAAGCCTTTTAAGTTATTTATTAGTTTATTAAACTGTATTTACTGATACTGGGGACAATGTTTGTATACACCAACTAGTACCTCTTGCATGTGTTTGGGATATCTGAGAACACTTTGCATGATTCGCCCAGTTTCATTGCAATATAATATTTCAGTGCCACTGGATCTTCATTTTTACACCAACTTTTCATGGTGACAAAGGCTCGGCTGTATGAATTGGCTAAATAATATTTGACTTCACATTCAAATCTTGAAAAGGTACTTTTCTGTTAAAAGATACCATTTCTGTTGCCTTAAACACTCTTAATTTGAAAGCTCATGACTGAAAATAAGCTGTAGTTACATAAAATCAACAGGTTTTCAGCGATTCAGCGAAGCTAGTTGACTGTGTGCTGTAGTTGAGCCTCACTGAACTTGTGATAAGTGTCTGTGCAGTCTGATTCTTCAGAGGTCACACTGATCAAACTGAAAACGTGCCCCTGGATGTGGCTGTCACTAAGTCCATGGATTCTGACTGTTGCTGCTCCGCAGAACTGAATTGTTGACCCTCTGGTCAGCAGTTGGGTCTGAGTGGGAGACGGTCGGTCCTTGGATTCATTTAATCCTTACATGAGTCCGGGAGGCTTATTATAAACTACAATGTGGCAACAAATGTCTTTGAAATGTGAGATGACACAGGCATTAGAGGAAGAATACTGCTCTGATGGTGAGCCGTGCTTTGTGCAACTACCTGGTGGCACAGGAGAAAAATAGCAGGTTTGATAGCCCTGACTTCCACGTATATTATGTAAGCTTCAAAGAAGTATCTGCTGACTTCTTTAGTGAGTTAACTTTAAAACAGCAGCCTGCAAATGCATTTTTCTTGCAGATCTTTGTCAGCATGAGGCAGGCAGCGGGAAATGGCTTACAGAAATGAAAAAGCAGGTCAAACCTGATTCAGAAAGTAGTAGTTTTTATTCAGGATACTTAAGCAGTTTGTTTTGCTGCATTTTTCCCCTACYGTTTAATTTTGAAGATTTTTGTTTTCTAAAGATGTCTTTGTTGAAGAATCAGTCTTCCCTCCCTCCCTCCCTCCTCACTCCTGTAATGTGCTTGTTAACTCGACTCTCASTCCTGCCCACAGCTTTCTCTGAGTTGGGAACTTATGTGGTTTAGAGTTGACCTGGCTAAATTAAATTATAGTTTGATTTTCAGTGTTTCGGTTTTGATTTAAATTCATCTGTCTGTGAAGGATTACTTCCTTCCAGTAGTTTAAATAACTTTGAAATCTAGCTGGATATGAATGGCTAAACACAGACTTGTTATCGGTTGGCTGAACCCTGCACTCGGATATATAGTGGAAGTCCCTTGAGACAAAATATTAGGATAGTAATAAAGGCAAGTCTTCCAGCAAGATTCAGGGAAAGCCCAACATGACCCTGGCTGTTTCTGAACTTGGAGAAAGTGATTGGGAAGAGGAGAGGGGATTATAAGCAAGCCTATCCTTTCACTTTGTGGGCACTTTTCAGTATTCTCAGGTAGCACTTGCCTCTTGACACCTAATCAAGCTTTAGGATTTAAAAGTTGCTGAAGGGACTGTGGTAACTTCAGCTGCCTACTTTTTTTTTTTTTTTTTTTGGTGTTGCTGACTTATGTTTCGTAAGAATCAACAGGTAACAAGTCAAAAAAAGCAGATGGTATCTCGGTGCAAGAGAACCTCCTGGTATGGAAGGATAGGCTTTAAAAAAATCATTTCTATGAGAGTTGGTCTTCAGTATTTTAGACCCAAATACTGGAAGGTATAAGAGCAGAGATGCCTGTTTCTTCAGATTCTGAAGTCAAACTCACCACAGTAATGGTATCCAGAGACATCAACACTGCAGCTAGTTCACGTAACTTCAGATGTAATATGGTTATCAAGTACAGAAAGTCTAACTCACAAGTAAATCTTTTGTGCTTTGTCGTGGTAATGACAGCTAACTTGTAATGAGGTCTTGGATTTAATGCATAAAACATCCTGTGTCCTGAAACCGGTTATTTAGATGGGTTGGTAAGCTCTACRCGGTAAAAGTCCTTATACCTCTTTATTCTCAAAGGCCTTCATTTTCCTTTTGAGCATGATCTTGTTCTTCCTGAGATTTCTAACTAGATTCAAAATGCTATATTCCGTGTTTTGAAATACAACACAGTTTGTACATTTGTTAGTCAGAAAAGCTAAGGTCAACCTCACACTTAATTTTGTCCCTAGAAAGCTACTAAAACATCTTACTTAAAATAGAAAAAATAAGTGCACAGTGAAAATGGAAAAGCTTGAATTAAAAAAAGAGGCCAAAGAAAATAGTGTGCTCTGTTGGAGAAATCTGTTATGTCTGAATAAAATCTAAGCGGAGGTAGGCAACAACAGGTCACTTGTATCCTAAATCAAATATTAAAGGTGGATGTTTACCATAATGAGTACGACTGTTATTTTCAGCATATGCAGCCTAAGTCTTAAATCCTAAATGATAAATGAAGAGCAATATTTTCACCATACTGATTATTTTCTCTACAGAAGATGCAGGCAACAAGAATTGTAGCCAAATGCTAGATATAGTTGAGCCTATAGTTGATAGAGGGTAGTCAGCCTGTATTTCTGAATTARTTTGTGCAATTTTTACTTCAAAAAGGGCTGCCATGCTTGGGGGCTGTGGCAGTGCATGTTCTGAAATTGGTGGCATATTTATAATCTTCRTTCCTAGTTTTAGAGGGAAGGGGCTTCCTCCTGCTCGGGAGAATGGTGAGGCTGAGATGTGACTCCAAGGCTGCTCCGACGAAGCCCCATATGCTGCACAGAGCCTTTGTGAAGTCGACTGCCAGGAGAGAATGTTACACTGGGCATTGTTTTACGTACCAGGGTTTATGTATTTTTATATCTTGGCTTGAATAACATTTTTAATGGAAATTATTTTCAATTCTGATATCATTGATCACCTTTTTATTTTTGTTTAAATTAATATCAGTGCCTGCAACTAGAATTCAAATATTCCTACATTCTAATTTAAAAAAAACCCTTGATATCCAGACTGAAGTGTTATCAAGTGTGCAGTTTTATACTGAAATTGGTATCAACCTTAAAAGTACCAAACATTTTTTCAGATCACACATCAGTCGGGAATAGTGGGGCAAATCCAGATTTACAGTATTTCTCTCAACAACATGCTGTCCTTATGACCCAACTATGTAGAAAGCTCTGATGTTTTAAAGAGTAGCTTTTTTCAAACTTCTTAGTAGTTGGACATTTATTTATTTTATGATGCTGCTAAGTCTTTTTTAAGCCAGACTTAAAACTCTCGTGCTTAAAATGAAACTTTATTGTCTTCTGTTCTTTGTAACTTTGCTCTCCTCATATGTTCTAAGTTTCAAAACTGCATATTTACAGTATTTTTGATAAAAAGCTGAGATGAAGAAAAAAAATACACCAAAAAATCTRTTTTGTAAATACAATTTATGCCTGATCAGTATGTGCCAACTAATGTTTTTCCTGTCTTCAATCATGTCTTTGTCCTATTATTAACAATCTTGCATGTTTGCAGTATATGTAAGATTTCTAAGAAGAATATACATGGGAAAACGGTCTGGAATAGCAATCACAGAAAACGTCACCTCGTGTTTCATTCTTTTTCCATCTGTATGCGCAGATATTTATGTAAACATGCTATTAAATAATTTAAGCCTAAGATTTCTCYTTAGGTAGATTTTTTTTATAAATTGCACAGGATACACGCTCCAGGCTGTAAATACTTTGAATGTGTCTCTGTTGCTGGGAACACACACAAATTCAGTGTTGCTCTTGTATCACTCTCGTTCATCTTTTTGTGTTTGGGGTGGTTTTCCGTTTATTTTTTTTYCCTCTGGAGCAAGGAGCACATAACATTTCCTATTCTAGATGGTACCTGAGACCAAAGGGCTCCCCTGCCTTCGTTTCAAACAGGAAGGACGCTGGTTTTGTGTATGTGAATTGTAACTTCCCACTTCTGCTAAATTACTGTAAAAATAAGWTTTGATATTTCTACTTTTACACGTATTAAAACTAACATGCTTCCTGGTGAAGATGATACCAAATGGATATTGCATTACATATACTTGTTTAGGGTTGCCTTGCACGTGGTTTTAAAACAAATCTTGTTTGCTCCGTGCTTTAGAGGTTCGTGGGAAGTTACGAGCAGGAGAGAGCAGCCCCTGTTGGAAAAG